AACCACTGGCTGCACATCTCTGTCATGCTCACAGATGTGGTCTTTGCAGACTGAGGGAGGGCTGTCGGACAGGGACTCAATACAACCCTGCAAGCCCCTGTCCCAGAGGAAGTCAGGGCATCTAGGGGACAGCGCACAGGCAATTCTTACCCCTAAGCACAGTTGGGGCACATCTGAGGTGGAAATGGTGGCTGTTTGGAGGGTTTTCTCTGGAACATCCTGGCCTAATACCGTGAAGAGCCACCAGCTCAAGCATTTCACCTCTGAGCAGATGACCACAAGAACTGCTCAAAGGGGAAATAAAAGGAGCAGAGTCCTTTCAGTAGGTGTCATTAATGATGAGAATGAGCATGTTGACACCATCTGTGCTGATCTAATTCTGTCTAACATAATCTCCACCACAGATGTGCAAAAGGGCAAAGTGACCTAGAGGAAGTCATTAGCAGAACAGGGTGGAAAAATAATTCATGGTGGGATTATTTGTAAAGGCCTTTCAAAAGGTTATTTTTAGTGGGAACTGAGGGTCTACCTCCCCTGAGGCATGTTTAAAATCCCAGACTCAACTGTAAGCTTATCTACTAGATCCACCTTCTAAGTCAATTCAATCACAAAAACTTCTTTTTTGTGGTCAGACAGCCAGCACTCAATGAATGCATGCTTGCTTGCACAGGGTTATAATGTATGAATACATGAGAAAGAGCGTGTTGCCCCTGGAATCACCACCTCTCACCTGGAGCTAAATTGAAACAGGATCTCATACAGATTTTTACTGCTCATGTTCTTATACCCACAGAAAGAGCCCATCATAATTAGGGACTATATAACCTGCTCAGGGCTGTGAGGTCTGAGCTCCCTGAAAATGCCAGGAGGGCATGAACCTCCTTGGGTACCATGCTTCTCTGTACGTAGTCTGGAGTAATACCAGCCTGCACTGCTTGTCCACCTAATCCTGCTCCATGTCTGTTACCCCTATATATTGGATCTATTTCCAGTATGTGCAATTCCTGACAGTCTACGAAAAAAAGTGAGGTATATTTGTGTAATTCAGGTATTCATCCATTGCTTAATATTTCTTAATACAGCTTAACCAGTTGTTTAAGTAGGTAGAAATAGAGGTGGACAATGATGAAAAAAAGTAATTATGGTGTTTGGAATGAAAAATTACCAGGTGATATCAGAACAGCAGATGAAAACAAGGCAATCTCCTCCTCAGTCAGCTGTAAGGAACATAAATTCTTTGCAAAGTCAAACGCTTCATTCACCAGATCATCAGAACCTGCAGACCACAGAGGACAAGAATCAATGTTAGAAATTTATCAACTCCTTAATCTGCCACGAAAAGTAGATTGTTTTGGGGAAAAAAAAAAATAGTGAGTGACTGCCTGTATTTCTAAAATTAAAGCCTTTCATCAGCTATTTAAATTCCATCTACCCTGAAAAGGTGCTGCTAAAACACTCATTGAAGCACCAAAATTATCAAGAATTAGGGGCATGACCTGTACAAAAATTGCACAGACATCTTAGAAGAGGGTTATCTTTTCCCAATGTGATAAGAAATATCATTTCTAAACAGATATTAAATCTAAGAGGGACAAATGACCAGTCCTAAATAACTTTCACATATATAATTTTATTAATAAACACTACAAATATTTATGAAAATTTGTGAACACATCATAAAGATCAAAATAAATCAACTAATACACATTCATAAATGCTTTAAGCTTGTAAAGTAGTGTTACTTTAATCCATATGCAAATAAGAAAAATATATACCTATATGATAAATATATACATTTGAAGCAAATATCTCTGAGTTTGGTCCTGAATAAATTTCTGGTAATGTATCAGTCTCATGGATGGGCAAAACCCATCCATTTAGTTGTTAAGATTTCAGGTAGCACTCGATATCATGTTGAGAAAGTAAATAATTACTTCAATACATGAATCTAAATAAATGAGCTTAAATGTTTAGGCAAACCAGTATTTTAGGTAAGTCTTTGCCTGCAATTTTATATAGTTCATCATTTCAGCCCCCTTGTTGCTGGGGCTAAAATTGTGTTCTGCAGGACACAATTAGTAGGATTGATTTGATACATCAGTCATAACTGAACTGTGAAGATAAACTGCTTGGCTTCTGCCATAAACTTGTGTTTTATCAAAACTGCAGATGGCAGAGTAAGACATCTATCTGAAAAACCCTCACGCTGTTCTTTTTTTGTTAGAGAAAAACACCTATCATTGCTAGCAGCTAGTAGTCACCTTTTTTCTTTGCCAGTTCCACCCTAGAGATTTGGAGGCTTGGGGATTCAACATTTACTGGAGATTTTCATTGTGCGTCACTGTTTTCAGAAAGACAAATCTGTCACTATGTGGCTCAACGTAATTGGTTGAAAAAAAGAAAACCAACATACCCAAGGCTTTAAACATTTGCATCCCTCCATACTTTCCTTCAAACAGAACAGTATTGTTGAGTGGGTTGAAGGCACGGCACATTCTCACCAAAACCACTTCCAAGCAGCCTATCAGACATGAAAAAGAGCGAAACTACCACACATTACTAAAAAACATCAGAATAAAAGACATTTCAAGAAAATATTCAGGAAGACATCAGTCATTAGAAACAACAGCAGCGATAGACACACCTTGAAGGCATCTAGATGATGTATCTCTGATTAAGAGAAAAAATATTTTTGTCTGCTTTGAGTACAGAAAGGGATAATTTCTTCTCCATCCTAACTACCTTTTCTTTAGGTTGATTTTTCCCCCATTGCAGCAAATTAGCAGCCTGGACTTAATTTGAATTCAGACGTGGTCAAATATTTTCATTTTAAAATATTTTATCCTGAAAAATAGGCATTTATCGAAACTCCTTCTAAATAATTAAACCTTTTTTATACAAAAAAGCAGCTCCATTCAATGTGTATATAAATCCCAGCTTCATTTGGCTGGAGGGGGAGAACATCACAAAGTGTTTTTAGAGAGAAAATAAAAACTAAAGCACTGTCAAGAACACCCCTAAATTGGGTTTTACTTTTGTTTCCCTTGCTTTTCTTTCAGGTTGGGAAATAGCCAACACTTTTTCCCCCCTTATCTTTCCCTATGATTTCCTAACTGCAAAAATATACAGGTTGGTAAAATGAAGAGAAAAATTTTAAGCATACCTTAACTAAACCCAAATCTCCTGTAAGAGGAATTTTAAATCTGAGTATTCTTTTGCAGACACAGTTTTGAGTGAAAAGTCCTGATTTTCTAACTCCTGCTCAGCAATAACAGCAAAACAGAAAATAAAACCTGAGATGTTTATACATGCTGAACCTAAACCGAGTTGTCCAACAGTGCAGTCAAACAGAACTACATCTTTTGCTGAAGGTGCAGTTGTGCTGTTAGCTTTGCCAGCCATATGAAGGAAGTTACTTGGGGTGCACTGGCATCTGCAGAATTTTCAACATTAGTACAAGCTTTAAAAAAATAGTTCTCATGCTACAACTCCATTTTTCCAGGAGGTTGTCTGTGTGTTCCTGGGGTCCCTGTGTCCCTTCTCTTTGCTCCTGTGCCACTGTCTCAGTCCTGCCTGACACAGCCACAGGCCTCTGTGTATGGAGTGCTGAGTCACACTGGCTTTCAGCCTTAATGAAGAGCTCTCTCTTGAAATAAGAAGCACTGCTTATGCTTTAACGAGCCACTTCACGCAGCATCCTGCCTTTTATACACGGAGGGAGCAATAAACTGATATGACAGGGTAAATGTAGTTAATTACCAGTCGCGGTTCACTTGGTCATACCATTTTTGTCCTCCTGAGTTTGGTGGTGTTACTACATAATCATGATAAATCTTGTCATGGTTCTTCTGGAGGACAAAAATTACTGAGTCCCATGACAGGGAAGGAAAACCCTTTCCCCCTTGCCCTTATGCACACACGTGTACACCCAGGGATGCACAGAGAGCACGGCCGGAGCACGCTGCCGTAATCCGCTCTCATTTATTCTGAAACCAACTGGCACCAGCAGGGATTTTCCCTCCTGTGCACTGGCTGGAGGGTATTTCTGTAGTCTCATTAAAAAGATTAGAGATGACCACAGAGGCAGACCCCGGTGCGCCTGTGTTCGTTTCGCTAATGACGAGTGGGGATTTTACAGGGTGGCAGATGACTGATTCGACCAGCTCAATTCGTAGGGTCCTTCCACCACATGTCAGGTTGGAGACTGCAGTTTCTGCAATGATTGTGTGCATGCGTATACTTAATAACTCCAACTGACTGTAGAGGGAAGGGGATCAGAAGGCAGTAACGTGATTAATGTGGAAAAATACAGAAGGGTTAACGTAGCTAATGAAACAGACTGAAATCACAGCTCCTTCAAAACTAAAATGATTTGCAGAACAAGACAGCAGAGTACATTTCTAATGTACTGGGTGCTAAATCAGTCTCAAGCCTCCGGCGTTTACCCACCTGACTTAAGGAGGAGAATTTGGTCATTCTGGCAGAGTTCCATGAAGCCTGTTATGCGCTTCGCAAACTCCACCACGTACTGGATAGCGTGGGTGATCTGAATGGCACACTGTTGCCACAGAGCTTCTCTGGTCTTCCGGGAAAACACACATGGAAAAACAAAGCAGTGAGCAAGTGAATTCATCAGTGCATTAAGCTGTTCATGTGGCTTTGCAGAAAGTCGCACTCCTCAGACTCCTCCCCCATCCCCAGGCAGAGCTAGCAGCATGTCTGCTTCTCAAGGTACTCAACACTGTTCATGAGAAGGCGGTTTTCACAAGCCAGTTGCCCCAGTGATCTGAACTCTGGCATTGCATCTTCAAAGGGAGAGAATGCATTGTCTAATGTTAAAATGGGATTTGAATGTTGGCTTTTGTGCAAGATGGAAAAACAGTGGCATAAACAATGTAAACATCCCAGAGCACTCTTAGCAAAGAAGTGACACACTGCTATTAAGTTTTGCTAGTTTGAAACTTAAAATAAAATATAACTGAAGTATCACTGCAATCTGAACACTGATTGCATCAAATCATTTTCCTTGCACGCACAAGTGTGCAAATGTAAACAGATACTCTTGGTTTGCACCCCACAGCTCTGCAAGCTGTGGGGTGTTTTTGTTCTTGCTAGTACTTCATAGCCCCTCAGCTTTCAAAGAACAAGCTGGAGTCTCTTCCCTCTCTTGTGTGGTCAGCTAATGTGCCAACTGAAATCTGACTGGAGAATTGTTGCTAGTGCTGCCAGTGCAAGATTTCTGTTGACTTGACTACATATGAAGAGGTGCCAATGGGAAATAGCCTGAACGTGACCTGAGAATTGCAGCAGTAGAACACAGATATAGTGTAATGAGATAATTTTTCCACCCAGTTTTGAACAACTTCAATTTAAGGAGTACTTTCAGTTTGTCATTATCTATTCTTTATAAGTGACAGGTATTTGTTATTCACACGAAAAGGGGTGCGTTTTCAAAATTATAAGGAAACAAAGTTAAGTTGTCTTATTTTCTTAAAATCCTTATAACAAAGGATCCAATCCTGACAACATTAAAGTCAACTGAATTTCTGCATGAATTTTAGACCTGTGATAACAAGCAGAGCATGGAAAGCTGGATTCCATAACTCTGCCTAAGCTTCATTAGCAAACATTCCAACATGCTGGAAAGCTGCTGGTTCATTTTATGAAGTGTCCCTCCTTTGCTTTCAGTAATCATCTCCTTCAAAGATATTTAAAAGATATTCATTGACCTATATGAAGATCATCAGCATATCCTTGCCAAATACATTACACTATTCACAATTTCAAACCACAGACAGCAGAAGAAAAAGCATATTACAGGATTGTACCTTGCTCTGGTAAACCTTAATTTCTTCATATGTGTGAGTCTGCCACGCTAGCTGGTGTAGTTCCTCCATCGTATATTGACAGGTCTCTAAATGAGATTTAATGATATTCTGTGCAATTCGATCTGCAAAGAGGAGAATAAAAAATAGCTTGCATGGAACAGTGAACAGTGATTTGCCATAGTAAATGTTGAAAACACTGAAGTTGCTGGAAAATACGGATTTAAAAAAAATAATATTTTCTTTCCAATGCTACCTTTCTCTTTTTTTTTTAATTTATTTTATTTTTTTTATTTCTGAACATGGTTGCAAACCATTTTAGTATTCAACGCAAAGCCAAACGGTTCTTGATAAATAGTGGATCTGCACATGAAAATAACAATGAACCTTGTGAAACTATTCAGACTCTTTCATCTGGAACTGATTTTTTTCTTTTCCCTGTGTTTAAATAAATGTCATTTGGAAACCCTGGTTAGTCGATCACTTCTGTCTGCCCCAAGCCTGTGCAGCTGCTCAGCTCTGACTGCTCTATCCTGACATGGGCATTTGCATTACCTTGGGGTGACTCATGTCAGAGAAACACGAAACAGGTCTCTTTTTTTCTCAAGTTAGTTTTCAGCTGGATCAATTTCTGATTTAGCTCAATGAACATGAACATGGAGACTGGTGCTAGCAAGGGGTGAAAGCTAGAAATAGTATCTGGGGTTTTAGAAGGAGAGATGGGGGGAATAGATCTCACATACAGGATGAAGTTGTCTTAAAATTATTCTGAAACTGCAGCCTTAGAAACTGCTGTGCTAACATGGAATGCAGGATGTAAGGGGAAAGGTAAGCATTCAGTGTCGGCCTGAGATCCCACTGAAACTAAGTGTAAACTTCTGAGGGAAGTATTTTAGAGTAGATCTTTGCCCTTTAAGCTACTTGAGTGGATTAAACAGATTTTCACCAAAACTTCCAGCATGAATTCATTAGCACTGGAAGCTGAAGTGTCTTGATAAACGTGCTATAGAAATGTGATGATTTCTTATTTTGCAGCTTTGAGACCTCTATGTCTAATGAAGCGCAGCGCTTCAGCCTGAAGACATTGCTTAAGTTGGATACCTTTCAAACAATGGAACAAAGTTGAAGTCACAGAACTGAACTGAAGCCCTTCAGATGGCAGAACTGGCATTTTGCAGAAAACGTGTTTGTCAAAAAAGGAAAGGACACTGAAAATGTGTTAGCCAAACCTGAGCATGGGAGGTAGAAAGAACTAGGAATGTCATAATTTACTCATTCACATCCGCAACAGCTTTTATACAGTAGGTGGATCTGGTGCTTGGAATCCCAAAATAAAACTGTTTCTTTAGCCAAATGTTGACTGAATTTAAAAACAGCAGCAAGAAGGAAAGCTAAAAAATGAATGTAAACATGTATATGCTCCCTGAAATCACTGCTATAAGTGTTTTATTTAAAGGAGAGATGCCTGCCCTACTGCCACAGTTAATAAGCTGAGACTCAGCGGAAAGATGCTGAAGACAACACAAAAAGAGTTCCAGGGTTTTTTTAGGCCCAATAAAACCTGCTGAATTCAAGTCTTTACAGGTATCCCTTTAAAGGATGGAAGAATTGACTCAGGCATAAAGATAACTAGAAGTGTATATTGAAAAGTACAGGGATCTAGCCATTGTTCTTTTATGGAAGGTTGGATGCAAGTCTTAACTCATGATGGTAAGCTGTTGCATTTTATAGCAAAAACCTTACAGATACATGGGCATGTTGGAATACAGGGATGATGAATATAAACAGATTTTTTTTTAAAGGATTGACAAAGGTTTATTTGCACGTCTTTAACCAAGAAAAGCAAGTAAACCCCACCTTTTTTTTAGAAAGATCAGATTTTAGATGTTTACCCCTGTATTGTTCTATTTAAAGTACAGTTTTAGCATCATCATTCTGGGAACATCCTTAGCTGCAGTAAACCTGACTGCAGAAGTTAAGCTCAAGCTATAAATTTTATCACTTGTGTTCCTGGAAGTATCTAACCAGACAGAACTGAGGTAGGATCAGAGGAATATTTAGGCCTTGTATCTAAAACACCAGTGAAAAAAGTATGATTTCGACTTGTGTTACAATTCCACAGCCTGAATGGTGAAGGATCTTGCTCTCTGCATCAGTTGGCTGGTCTCTTGTGCTTCCTAGCCCAGCTCTCCTAGCCTCACCATTTGTTACAAACCTGGAACTCATCACACTCGACATAAAGAAAATGCTTACAATAAATACCTCAAATACTTTAATATTACTGCACAGAGAGATTTTGCATCAGATACAGTGACCTGATGCCAACAATCTGAAAATAAGACCTTTTCATTTCACTGACCTCAAAATATACTTGATTAGCAGTTCTACATTACTTCAAAGATCCTCAGCTCCACTCCTTTTCCTGACATTTATCTATTTACCTTAGGACCGAAGAGCTGACAAACTCTTCAGGGTTTTGTAGGGATGGCATCCTGTGTTTTACCCCCATACATCTTTTCCTTACATTTTTGTGCTTATGTTGGGCTGACATTAAAACCCATTTAGATGTGTGAAAGCCTAGGGCAATTGCAGCAAGCAGTAGCTCTGAATGCTGACATCCAAAGAGGAATCATGTTCAAGACAGACTTGAAACTCTTGTGCTGCAGGCCAGGCAAGGCTGAGTGTGTGATAGAAAGGGTACATTGGGTCTCAGGGGAGGAGCGGACTGCTCATTCAGCATGAATGGATGAGGAGGCTCCTGGCTTACACTCAGTGCTGGAGTCCCTGGAAAGAGATTTATACAAATATAGTATACACTGGGTGAGCAGAATTGGCATGATGCAAAAAGTAAAAGAAGTATAAGCTTGTCTTGGCTTCTTAGATGGTCCAGCAACAGAAGATCCGATGCTGATAGATCAAAGAACATCACTCACAAAGGTTTTCAAAGACTATAGCCTTTTTTTTCCTGACATTTTCTGATTTTAGCATCTTTTCACTTATGAATTTGGAATCAGTACATATCTCGGCAAACCCCATGGACAAAGAAGTTCCTAAGCCACTGGGAATAATGTACTGACATCTAATGCAAACCTGTCCCGTCACATGACACATGTGCTGTGCTGTACCCAAAATGTGTCACATTTCTGTGAGACCTGGCAGCTCTGAAGCACTGCTAGCAACTGAGTTCAACAGATTAATTCTTTTAGTAGAGCTAGAAAGAAAGGGACAATGAGGAAAGAAGGCAAACAGCTTCGTACAGTGGGAGGAGAGCTATTGCCTTGATGCAGAGGCTGTGGCCTCAATCCTATGGAGGTACCCTGCTGGGGTGATGCTCAACAGCTATGTGTCTTCTGTTCTCCAGGCTAGAAGCATCCATTGCAGTTATTCCACGCATCAAATCTTGACTTATGTCCACTTTGTTTTAAAAAATCTTGTGCCAGATATTTCAGGGGTCCTCTTAGACTGGGAAGCTGCACAGACACAAATAGGAATCCTGTCTGGATGGGCTGCAAGGACTAGAAAAGACAACTTCATTTTTGTGACCTCAGTGTGAACTATATTTCCACCTGAAATGTCAGCCTCCATTTTACATAAGTTACAGCAGGTTTGCAAGGTTTGCTTTATGAAAAGAAAAACAAAAGAGATGGTGCTGGCCACTCAGGTGTGAGAATCAAAGTCTGCAACGTTTTATTTTACAAGCACCACCTGCTGCAAATGTTTGAGTGAAAATTAGTAATTCCAACTGAAAGAATTACTGAGCCTGCACGATAGTACACCACCAGCATTATAATAACTACAGCTGTAAACTGCAGGATTTGTAAAGCTTATCTGCCAGAGTATATAAACACAAATGTAGACTAGGTACTTCACTACTCCCCTTTTGTCTCTACACTGGGTTTATTATATTAGGGCTACATCTCCTACCAAGCATCATGATCAGTCAATATTACTTGATACCACAGGGAATGTGAAAGCCACAGTATATCCTGGCAGATTGACTGTCTGGCAAACATGGCCCACAGAAGATAACATGTTCCCAGTGTCTGACCTCCAGCATGCACTGTGACATGGAAGCATTTACATCAGCTGGCTTTGTTCTAAATTTGAAGACTTCTTAGTATAGGTACCTTGAAATTTTTATGGAAAGCAGACACTTTTTGTACAGAAGTTATGTTTCATTATAAAAAAAAAAAGTATAAAAAATAATTTTTCCTTCCAGAGACATAAACCAGAAACAACATACTCAATCAAGAAAACAATCAATAGCTGTATCCGATATAAGGTCTTGAAAAACCTGAAATACATAAATAAGATATAACCTGGAATGACTGTTCATGTTTAATTGCTGTCCCACATATATCTGACCGGTTTTCTGTAATGGCCCACTATACTAACTGTAAACTCTCATCCATTCTTAGGGGTGACAAGGAAACTTATATATTTTTGGTTGGCATGGCCAGAGAGCAGAAACCTGAGAGGTCGGGCTGACCTCCACGACCTGCAGTGAGTGGGAACGCTGCCCTTCCCGTCACAGCAACTTGGGTACTGCTGGTGGGGCCCTGAAAGATGCCAGCTGGACAGGGAGATAAATTAATTGGGATTTTTGCAATGCAGCAGTGTAAAAAAGTCAAATACATAGTAGGAGATGTCCAGAAGAAGCTGATAATTTTACATCAGGAAGATGAAGGATTATCTGTTGAAAAGATTTGTTCTCATTCAGAAAAAAAATTGTGGGTTTCTTGAAAGAAATACTGCGTGTATGGTTTGCGACATGCAACAAGATGACCTCAATGCCTATGGTGCAACAAAAATGTGACAGAAAGCTATACATGTACTGTGGGTGAAAAAGGCTGTACAAGGTGCAAGGGAGGATGGTAACAGGATAAATAAACACCTACACAATGCACTTCCGGGCTTCTGGCTTGGTGGTTACAAATTAAACTCTTAAGGCCAATACCTGAAAGAAGCTAAGTGCAAACGTTGATAGGAATCCTGAAGCATAATGAGGGCTCTCACTGGTACTAACAGAATTAAACGAGGCTATCAGGGAAAACAGCATCTGAAGCGTGAGATGCGGAATGTAGGACATAGACAAGATAGGGATGAGGAGGACCATGAGAGATAA